GTAAGTTTTTTAAAGTTTAGAAAATATATAAAGACTGAGTATTACAATATGTTATTAAAGACATTTAAAAAGATGTATGAGAGCTTTTATTCTAATTTTGTTGTTTGAGGAAGTCATTAATTGTAGATGTACATTAATAAAATTCCTTATTGCAAATGTTCACAGCATTCTATTATCCCATAATTTACAACTCATTAAAAATTTAACTTTTATACTGTTGTTTGTATTGTTTACTAATTTCTCTAAGTTCTCAATTGTTTACTATGAAATTATACTTGTAAAGAAAAGATAGTCTTTTTTAAAAGTTTTGCAAGATTTTCCTACAATGGCCCATAATCATAAATTAAGGATTTATAATATCATAAATCCATAGTATATGATAGATTTATTTGTAAGTATGTTTGCAATTCTAATCCCTGTTACATATAGGACTTAAGATAGCAAAAAAGTAAAATAAAAATGCATTATAGTAATAAGATACAGAGCAATCTGACTAAAATTTTAAAAATCAAACCACATAAAGGAAGAAAATGAAAATGAACACTCTTTGGATCAGTCCAGAGGGCATATAATCAAATATCAAACCTACATAGAATTTTCTGCAAACCAAAGTAAAAGGAGAGGTAAAGTAGGCTGCATGACTCTTACTGTTAAAAAAGAGAGAATCACATTAATTCTTCAGAGGAAGCAATGTTTTTAAGAAATAAATTATTTGAAGTCTTTTGAATAGGAACTCATACTGTGGCTCACCAAGTAATAATCTCCTCAACAAGTCTAGAGTTTACAGTAGATGTTTGGTATATTTATAAGAAAAATTTAGATTGATATTCCAAGTAATACGCAAAAGAAAGTTTTGGTGAGCTAACTTAAGCCAGCTTGTTCATTCACACTTATTAGGGTCTTTTTGGTTCATTTCTAGTCCCAGTCCTCCTCTCGCCTTCTTTGTCATGGGTAGCGTTGAGCTCCGTGCACCCTCTGCAACTTACCAACTGGCATATTACAACAAAAGCAAGTTGCGGATACAAGTCAGCGTAAACAGATTTATTACCAAGGTATAAAAACATTCAAACAACCTGTTCTTCAAACTAGGTGAAATTTTAGCTCTCTGTCCTTTAGCCATTGACCAGTGCCTTGCATGAAAGGTTCTTTGGAGGCCCACGTGACAGTAGTTTTGAGGATCAGTTAGACATCCAGCTGAAATTAGGTGAGCTCTTTATTTTCCTTGTGGGCCGTGGGAAAGAACAGGAGTCCTAGGACCAGGACACTTGTTTTGAAGGCTAGCACAGGGCTGGTTCGCCTTTCAAATCACCTTTACAATGGGAGCAAGTATCTCAGATATCTCCTCTGTTTTATTTCAGATGGAGATGTCCTTATTAGAAGTCACTGTTTTTGGAAGACATGCAACACTGATTAAAGTCTTTCAAATGCTATCTAATTATCCTAATTAGGCTACTTTGAATGTTAATAATCCATTCTATCAAGTAGATTAGAGTTAAATTAGACCCCCTTTATCATACTAACTATGCTGAGACATTTAAAATAAATTGTAGGCAACCAAAACAAGAGTTACAATCTACTCGTGAGAGGACTCAGGGTTTTCCTAAGACGTCTCTATCAACTCTTTCCCTTGAATACCTACTAATACAAACCTTCTTCTTTATGAATACACACAACATTTTAATCTGTAATAATAAAAACAAGTATTCTTTTTTCAGTACTTTATGCATAGTGTTTTATATTTCAAAGTATTCCTCATATATCACTTAATTTATCTACTGGAAACTGGTAAATTGAAACACAATAGTGACCATTATCTCCATTATACAAAAGAAAGTAGAAGGGTGCACCTTGGCAGATTCTCCAGAGCCATACGGTGAATTTTAGCGCAGTTGGCAATTCCTGTGTAGTAGTTTTCCACTGTGTGATTTCTCGCAGTGATATTTCATAATATTCCTCCTGCTTCCAGGAAAGTCTAAAGGAGGAATGCATTTATTTTTTTTTTTACCTTTCACTTCCTCTAATTACTCAACACAGTGATTTTAAACATTCTCTTTGGCTGGGTAAGAGTACGCTTTTAAGTCCTCTGATGATTCCTGAAAGGAAAAAAGAAAAAGCCACCAACTGCTTCATTAGGGAGTTAAACTGTAAATTGAATCCTATTCTTATTTAGCCAAGTTTGAATGGTAGTCTGTCCCTCACAAAAATTACAAAATATTTACCACATAATAAGCCTAGTTTAAAATACAAATGGACATTTTGCTCTAATTATTTTGTACAGAGGAGTTCAAAAATTGGAGTATTTCAGGCAAAATTCTTAAACTTATTTTTATTCTTTGTCTTATAATTAGACAAATAATTGTCTTATATAATTGTCTTATAATTAGTGGTCTCAATTTATAATTCACTTCTTCTCCACTATCCATGTTTTTTTTTAAAGGGAATTATCTCCTCCTAAGGAAGTAATACTGCTTCACAAAAAAGAGCACTAAATATGAATCGGACAGAATGAGTTTGCTTTGTCCCATTTCTGCCAATTGTTTGCTAAGTGACTTTGCCTTAAATGTAGTTCCTATAACTACATTTAAACCTGGATTGGGACATCCGAGGAGAGGCAGTAGTGTGAGTGAGGGCATCACGGGGTGGTATGGAATTACAAAATAGGAGCGAAATATGCCAGGGCTTCTTGTCTTCCTAGCAAAATTACTCCTCCTCATGCTTCACCTCAGGTATCACCTCATTGGAGCATCCAGGCCTTGCATGTACCTCTCATCCCACCTCAGTGCACATCTCTCCTTTGCTCTTTGCTGATCTCTGCCATTGCCTTTACCCTATGCAATGTCTGCCTATTCTATGTCTCTCCCGAAAGACAAGGAGTCCAGGAGAGTAAGGTCCGTATTTCATTAGCTTTTTGAGCTCTCCTCTAAGAGCAGTATCACATAGAATAGATTCTTTTCAAAAACGTTTGTTTAGTGAATGAATAGATGGATAAATGAATGGGATGCAATACAATAGAAGAAATATTTACCCACGTATCTTGCAAAGTTATCGTGCAGATCAAAACTGGAAAGGGATGATATGTTAAAGGTTTTAAACTGAAGTGCCATGGGCAGTTTCCTTCAGCTTGCAAAGCCTTAATAGATGACTGGTGAGTTGAATTAAACTAAATTAAAAGCTAAAAAACATTTACCATGAATTTGTGTCTCACCCCATGCAGCTTGTAAATGGTGACTTTGTGTGGATTAAATCTAAAAGCCCTTGAGTGAGGCTGTCTATCCCACGTTCACCCTCCTGGGCATGGCCCTGGCTGAGGCTGAGAGCTCCGGGTGTCTCAGACTGCCAGAACGTAAGGAGATATGACAGGTAGCCAAACGGGAGACTGCTGGCTGCCTTGGGCTCACTGAGATTTGTGTCTAACAAGGCAGACTTGTCACTGGGCCCTTTGGAGGGGAAATGAAGCGATGAACTAATGCTGGGCATAGGAGGCGCCAGGTCCTGACAGGCTAAGGTGTGACCTGCTGAATCCTAACCATCCCAGACATCTTTAGAAGAACAAGTGAGCTGGGAGATGGCCAGGGGCAGGCAAGGTTGCAGGGAAAGGAGGTGTACACAGAGCCCACAGAGAGTAGGAAAAGAAAGGGCAAGTGAGATTACTGGTCATCTGGTGTCTTTGATCCCACGCAAAGCAAACTTCAAGCACAACAGCAAACACAACCTTTGAGCGTTACTGTCTTCAAAGAGTATTTACCAAGTGCTGTCTGGCTTTATCTCCCAGACTTGGTTAAATATGCATTTTCTTAAAGTTGTGTTTCTGACTTTCTTTTCTTTCCCTTTTGGCTATTGTTGTTGTTATTTAAATTTTCTAAAATTTCTTTTAACACCTCACCTGCTTTAACACTAGAATTCTGACACTCAAGAAAGAAAGAAAGAAAAGAAGAGTGAGGAAAGAGGAAAAAATTCCACAGAGCATTTTTTAAAATGCTTTTCCAATAGAAAAAAACGGAATTTGACATTTATAATTGTATTATTAGGTATAATATATTATTAAATATAATATAGATGATTCTTTCATCATATTACTAAATATGTACATATGATTCTATACGTGCTAGTCTTCATTAAAAAACACTAATATTTCAAAATTAGCAGGCAGTTCATTCAACTCATGCCCTTTTTGTAAGCTACCTTTCCTTAAAAAGGGAAACAAGATCAATTGTGACATTAAAATACATTTTATTTGGTAGTTAAAGGCAAACAAACATACCAAAACATTTAAATATATCATTGTACTTTATTATATTAAGGGGAAATTAAAAAATGGGAATTAAAAATGAGGTGAAAGTTTTTATATGCATTTATTGTGGCCATTTCATCACATTTTATCACAGTTCTTTATATGATAGTGTACCAACCAAATCCAAGATCTAGGGAAATGGTGACAATATTTTGTTCATCCTTGAATTTTCCACACTTAGGAAAATGCTTGGGGCATAATAGGTCATAATTAAAGAGATTTCATTTTTTTAAAATGGAAAGAATTAAGACTTTATAGTTTCACACTATTTAACAGAGTAATTTTAGAATGGTAGCAATTAAATTTTTAACCTACAACATACCTCTCATTTTTCACACACTGAAATGAGTCATAGAAGTGTAAAATATATGAAAAGATAGATTTTCTAATGGATTTATCACTGGCAAGGAAGATTTAATTGATCACATTATATTTTCAAAAAGAATTAGAAAGCAACAAAAGATGATATTTATTATGTGAACATTCTCCAATAAATCAAAGAGTAGAAAGCACCCTACTTGAAATATATCATGAACTTTTATCTTATTTGGTATTTAGAATATATGGAGCAATAAGAAGAGGACACATTTTTTCTCCTTTTTGATACACACAGTATGTGAGACCCTTTTGACTTTTAATAGAAGTGGTTTAATTTCACTTGTGTTTCAGAATGTAATTTATGTAACAGTATATAAATTTTCACTTCTGCTGTTTTCTACATTTTATTTGCATATTGAAAAATCTCATTAATAGTTAGATCAACTAACACAACACATATCCAGAAAATACAGTTCATTGCTTCTCAAGGACAGACATAGTTTTCACCACACAGATAAGGAAATGACCGCAAGGAAAGGCTTTGCTGGTGTGCAGGGGGTACCTACTCAGCCTCCACAACCTCAGCTGCACGCAACACTCAAAGAAAAACCGCCTCTCTCCCTTCACCGGTCCTTGAGAAACCACTGCAACTAGTGCATATCAGGAGCGTCAGTCATGAGCATCAGTCACCAAGGCAGCAACAGATCACTGGAGATAACTTGTTTCCTGCACTGAAAGAGGGTGGCAGCAACAGCAAAAAAAACCCCCCCAAACAAACAAACAAACAAAAAACAGAGATTTTAAACAATCCTGGCTAGATGCGACATGGGGTTCCATGTGGTTCTTAAATCTTCCAGACATGAAGGATTTTTAAAAATACAGACTTCTATCCTCCAGCTCCAGAGATTCCGATTCCTTATGCTTGGTATGGGCCTCATGCTGGGGGAGAGTCTGTTGACCATCACGTTGGAGGACATCTCATTTAGTCCAGGTCACTTTACAGATCAGAAGCTCCAAAATGAGAAGGCGCTGAGACCACATAAAACCTGATCCACACGCTGGATCTCAGCAGCTCCATTTTCATGATGCCACACCCTCAACTTGGTGGGGTGGGTTAGAGATTTTTTTAAATTATTGTCTATTATGTGAATTATACACATCCTTTCCTCATGTGGGATTTATACCATTCATTAGCTGGAAACTTTTATTTCCAGCTTAGCAAAGGTGATCTTCAATCCCAGCCACTCTCCAAAGTATTATAATTTCTGAACTTACAAATTAACAAAGGTATTCCAAGTTCAATGCCTTTAAAAATAACAATAACAGAATATTGCTTATGTTACTGTCTATTTTCCCCATTGAAAATAGTCTTATCAATTTTTCTGATTATGTAAATAGTGTGTAAGCTTTGTAAAACTTTAAAGAATACCACAAATTGTAGGGAAGAATGAAAACCTCCTTTGAAATCCTGATACTCTCATTTATCCCTTTGAAGCATTTTAGTTAAATTCATTTTTGCATCATTATCAACCAGTTAGTGTGCTCCCTCCTGCCCTCCCTCTTAGAAGCTCCTCCAGTTCCCTTTGATAAATCGACACCCCTTTCTCCAGCCTCTGCAGCAGCCTCCTTCTCTGTTAGTTGAGTACCTACCATAAGGAGCCTGAAGTGTCCAGGTAATAGTTTTAACCTCCAGTTTAATGAACTTCTGTTGTCCATTAACGTCTAAATTGCGTTAGAGCCACCTTCCTTAGGCTCTAACCATCTATAAACAGCTCAAGTTGTTTTCTTCCATCATAAGAAAATCCCTTGGATCTAGAGAGAGAAGAAAACAAAGCAGGAATAGGTGTCAAAGAAGGACCTCCAGGGGCAAGGGAAGGATCAAGCCTCCTTCTCATGTGCATCTCTTAAAAACACATCCACTTGATGAATTACTTGCCCAAACTCCTGGCTTGGTGGACAATATAACATCCAGTTCATGGGGGGCAGTTCAGGCTACGTGGTCATTTTCGTGTCCCCTGGTCAGGAGTTCAGTCTGTACAAGGATCGAAAGCCCTCCAGGAACTGCTGCTCAAAAGAAGAGAATGAGTTGAAGAGAGTATACATTTGCTCCCAAACCCTAGAGGTCTGCACTGTGGTCCTCCTACTGGGGCTTGCCCGAGGCTCCATGAGACATCCGTTTACCACAGGCTCTTAGGGTCTTAGCACCTGAAGATGTGAGTCTGCTAGTAGAAGAGCAGCTTGCCTGCAGCCAGGACTTGCAGTTCTGAGGGTTATGCAGTAAGTGGTGGGTAGTGGTTGGGAGCGGACACTGCTTGTTTAATGCTAGTCCTACCCGGGGGGTGTGATGATGCTTGCTCCTTGAGGGCTGAAATAATTGAGATGTGATGCCCACAGAAACAGGCAAATAGGAAGTGCATACCCCTCTCCCTGTGTTTGCCCTTCAGTCTCCCACTAGTGCCCGCATTTGTAGACTCTTAACAGGAAACCTGCTGGAAAGGACAGAGATTATTTGCAGAGCTGCAGTCTGAGCATCACAAAGGAGAGGAGAAGGATGGGTTTGGAGATGACACACAGCAGGTTAATAACCAGCACAGCATGAAACTGATCATCAGCTCAGCCTAGTGCACAGTATGTGTAAAAACAGCTTGAACTAGTGTAGTTTTCATATTATAAAGGTAATATATATTTATTGAGGAAAATTTAGAAAAAGAATAAAATCTCTCATAATCCCACCATTTAAAAAAATTTGGTGCCTCTTCTGCCCTTATAACACACATATACACATATATCTTTATATCTGAAAAAAAATGGATCACATTCTACATGCAATTTTTGAAACCTACTTTTATACTTAATAATCTAATATACTGTTAGCATCTTTACCTGTAATTAAATAATCCACAACCACAATGTTATTGTCCACATAGGATATTAATATATCTTTCTACTGCATAGATACACTAATATATCATATGTCATCTCTTTATTTTCAGATATGTTAAATAATATGTATTAATTAATTATACTCTATAAATATATTTCTTTTAGTTCTTTACAAACAGTTGTTGATATGCTAAATTTTGGAGAAATGTTCACTCTATTCTTATTACTGTGTTTGAATCTTAATGATATTTATTATGTATATAAGTCCCTTTGAAAATAGTTTGCCACATATAGAAAAATAATTACTTGAAAGACAATTCAGATGCAAACTCCCTTTCTTTTTTTTTCCTCCTTCCTACCTTCCTCCCTCCTTCCCTCCATCCATCCCTCCCTTCTTCTTTCTCTCCCTCTCTCTCTCACTCTCTTTTGCCAATCAGGTTATTATGTTAGGCCAAGATATTTACTTGAATTACTGCACATTCCTCTCTGGAGAAGGAATTATGACTAAAAAACCCATATAGGGAAAGATTTTTTGAATGTGGGTAGTGTGAGAACAGCTGGGGTGGAGACTGAATAAAATGGCAAGGATATTTCACACAGCTATAAATGGAATTGCTTAGCACAAAATCTTAGAATTTCTTGTGCTAGGAGGGTAAATTAGAATAGGGTATATGTTTTTTTTCCTTACAAATAGAAAATGCTAAAACTTAAAACCATCTGTGCTCTTTCTGAAAGTTTAAAATTTGAATTTAGGTAAGTCAAAGTGAAAATGTCTAGGGAGATTCGTGTGTTGCCAAGCAACATGGCTAATCTAAGATCTCACAAATCAAGTGCCATGAGAAATTTTGGCCACAATAAGTGTGTCCCCAAAGCAGGTGAGTCAGCACCAGCTATTTCAGGAGTTTGCAGGGAGCCCAAGAAAGTCCCCAATGAGGGTAAAATTGTCTTCAAGCCATTTTGCCTTTCTTTTGCAATGCAAATCCTTATACTTCAACTAACTGGCTCCCATATCAGATGTAGTCAAGGAGATAAAATGTACCCTGTTCCATCCTACGAAGATACTCCCAGTGAAGTGAGAGATCACCTCGATGTGCGGACACTAGGAGCCCGCACCCTGATTCCGGGGACAGAAGCCCATGGCTAGAGTCGACCAGCGGGGAAGTAGAAGTCCCATCCGGATCTCCACATCAAACTGAAGAGCATGAAGACGAGAAAGCATGCCTGTGTTCCTGTTCCTGGAAATGTCCAATCTAAACCCAGACATCGCTACCTTCGCCCATCCAAACATTGATTCCACCTGTTGTTTTTCATTTGTGTCTTTGTTTCCCCTCATATCCTGCTTTGAAACGGAGTTTGTTGAAGACAAGTATTTGTCACTCTCTATTTAATGAGTCTGGTCAAATGGAACTTCTGGGAATTCTAAGAAAATGATTTAAAATTGTTCGCTGGGCTTCTTCCCCACCTGTGAAGACTGATGTTTACCTAAAAGTCAAAGAAATTTAAGCCTTGAATTCCTGTGGGGTTAAGAAGGAGGATTCGTGGAAATAAATGACTCAGAAGAAAGTCCTCTTCTCTGACATGACTCGGGCAAGAATGAGAAGCTTAGCACGGGTACTGACATAATAATATTCACGGCTACACAGTGATTTATAATCTTTTTTTTTTCCCCTGGACTGCGTGTAACTTTTCTAGCTGTTCTTGAGTGAAGATGACAGAATCTGTTAACTGTTGGCCTGAAAGTATGTTATTAGATTTAGACCCAGTAGGGAAGCTCTGTTGCCTACCAGAAAATTTAAAGTGGAAAATGCTTTTGAGTTTTAGTCTTTCGGAAGGGACTTCCCTCTAATTTTAATTATTCTTGTCAGAGTATCCATAATTGTTTATGTGGATAAGTTACACTATTTGGTCTACTTATTATCATTGTGGGTTTGTGCATTGCTTACATAGCTTAGATGAATTTTATTGACCTGTTACTCCCAGTTTTTATTGCTACATCAAATTATGGAAATGGTTCCATACTCCAGTGATTCTTTATTGCATCATTTGAGATATGACTTGATCTATTTTTTGAATTTGATAGAAATGTTTCATTAAAGGCTGTGTGAGTTTATTATTTATGTGACTTGATCCTGAATTAACTATTGTCTTTTAATGCTAAACTGACTACTAACTTGGACGCTACCAGGGTTATGATTTTCAGATCATACAGGGGTTATATTTAGTATTTTAAATGACTAATCTTCTAAAATAATTATTCCCCTTTTTGGTGGCGGAATGTTGTAACACTTTTTAATGATTTAAAAGTAATACCCAACTGATTCTAGAAAATATGGAAACATGAGAAACATTTTAAGAAGAAGAAAAAG